GAGAGAAGCCTGTCAGCTTGCACTGCAGTGACCCCCACTTCCGGGCACAGGAGGTGACAACCTTGCCTGAACAACCTGGAAAATCTCCCCCTGTGGCTTGGGTGGGGTCTGGCTCACAAGCACCACTCAGAGCTGCACAGACAGGAGCAAACTCTGTTGACCCAAAGGCAAAAAGTCCAGTGAAACCCAAACAAATGTCTGGAAACAATATTCTGGCTAATCCATTTCTTTTCAAGATAACAAAAGTGTTAATATTTCTTTGATTAAGTGAAAGTGGTATTAAAAAAACATTAATTTCCTTGTTACAGCTTACCTTTGAATTCATTGTTTTAAAATTCCGAAGTGTCTTGAGTGTAGTGGGTTCTCAACAAATATGGACTTTTATTTGGGGCATTCGCTGCCTTGGTCAGCAGGATTATTCCGGCATCTAGCTGCCAAAGCCAAAAATGGAAATGCTCTCTCCTGTTTTCTGCAACTCTCTTCAATGATTTTATGTTGCCTGTTTAATAATAAGTTAAAAGAAAGATGTAACAAGGAAACCTGATGAATTCCTAAGGCCTGTTGTGACTTTCTCCTGGAAACTTACGTGTTTGGCCACTGTCAGCTCAACAGGGTGCCCCCGCCCAACTTCTCTGTCTACAGAGGAGTTCCAAGTTTGTTGGTCACTCACACCCCCTTTTGAGAAGGCATGTTGATCCTTCAAGAAAATGATCCTTGGGGCAGTTTGTAAGCAAAATCTGTTGTTAAAAGCAAGAAGCTACAGAAATAAGCCAGTATTGCATATAAACCTGGTTATACCTAGCTTGGGCTGACTGGTCACTTTGATTCACTAATACATTCTTTTTCTCCCGTCACATGTGGTCACAAACTCTTGCCAATTTGTCTTTTATAATGTTTCTCCTGCCCCTCCCATCATCGTGTTTGGTCCTTTTTCACCTCATGCCTGAACCATAAGAGACTGAAATCATCTCCCTACATGAGTTCCTCCTCATCTAACCCACCACCTCTGGATTAATCTTTAAAAAATAAAAACCAAGCGACAGCAACAAAACCCATACACAACAACTGTTTTCCCCATGATACCTTGCATTTTGGCCTCCAAACTCATTGGCTTCCATGGAGTAAAATCCAGACCCTTCAGCCAAGGCATGCAAAGCTCTCCCCAAACTCCTTGGGCCTCCGTGGCCATCGCTGCTGAAGCCTGCACAAACATACCCCCAAAGCAGCACAGCTTCAGGGCTCAGGACCCCTGAAGACAGCCACAGACCGGGGGTTCTGAGCCCCTGCTCCATGACGGCCCTACCTTCAGAGTTGTCGTTCCCTCTGCCCCACCCGCTTCTCCAGTGCACCCCGCACACCAAGTTTATCAGACACAGCCAGCCTGTGTCAGCCTCTGCAGCCTCTCCTGGGGCTTCTCCCTGCCCAGAACCCATCCCTCAGCTTGGGTCTCCCAGGTCCAAAGCCTTTGGGGCCCCACCTCCTCCAAATCTTCCCTGACTCCCTTCATTTGACCACCGCCCCCTCCTCTAGACTTCTGTCCTGACCCAGAACCTATAGCTGATTCCATACAGACCACCCAACTGGATTGGAAGCTCCCAGTGGGCAGGAGTTATGACATTTATGTACACCAGTGCCTTTCGTGTGTTCTGTGCCAATATATGTTGCATTTCAACATAGATGGTGAAGATGACAATGCAGGGGAAAAATAAAAACCAAATAAAAGGCTAATTCCCTCTTTCTCTATTTCAAATTAGACCCTCCCTCCCCCTCCTTCAAAATCTGCTAAAAAAACACTCAGCATAACTTCTTTATCATGTCATGTATTTAAAAAAAGGAAGCAACATTCTAGGGAATAGAGAAGTTGAAAAAGCAAATACATTTCTTTCAGTGACTCAAATAGCCTAGGAAAAATAAATAAACAACTTGGACCCGAGACAAAATGTTGTTGGCTACTGAGGGAGCTAATCCAGGTGCTTCTGGGTCTAAGCTGAGCCAAAGCCTGGGTGGGATAGTGAATAAGCCTTCACTGCTGAGCTGGGTCTGCAGGGTGAGTTGACAATAAGGGAACGCAGCTCACAAAAACCAAAAAGAGGGCCAAATTGAACCTCACTGTTCATCTCTGAAATACCAAAGGGTTAATATTGTGTGGGAAGAGTTTTTTGTTGCCGTTTTTTTTTAAACGCCCACATACTCTGGTAACTAGAGTGTGACAAGCACGAGAAGTGTGGTTGTAAATCCACAGGGTCTTGAGTGGAGACCCACCGTGTGATTTGGGACTTTCAGAGCTGTGACAGTCACCTCACAGTAGTGTAAGCGTCTTGTTTTGAAGGGTAAATAAACTTCATTTAAAGGGAAAACAAATATTCTGGGAGGGGCCTGTCTTTGTTAGGAGGTAGAACCACTTATCCTAAGTCACGAGTTATACTGCAAATATTTAGGTTTCTTTAAAGGAGTGGGAAAAAAATCTTTTTTCTGCAGTCTTTCCATCACTTCATCCTGCCCATCTCTGCCAAACCCATCTTTCTCAAAAATCCACTTTCACCTTGGGACTCTGCTCACAACTGTGTGGTGGCTTTCTGTTTCCTAATGCATGAATGTAATTATTATCATGCCTGGCCCTGAGGCCCCGGCAGTCTGTCCCCTTCCTAAAGCTGTTTTCCCCTCCCCACAGCCAGCCTCCTCCCTGCTGGGTGCCCATGCTTCACCCCTGCGCCTGGGTTCCACTGGAGGCCCAGCTCCTCCTTGCAGCCTAATGGAGATGTTCCAGTGCTCAGTGAGCTTGGAGCTTCCTGTGAAGCACACAGGAAAGATTTTCTGCGGGTTACACTTAGTTCCCTAGTTAAAGGGTAAAGTCCTCGAGGGCAAGGACCAGTCTTTTCCCGCTAAGCCCAACTTCTATGTCTGGACTACAGCCAGCCCAGGGTGGCTCTTCCGTGCTAGTTAGTCTTGTCCCCTCACTTCCTTCCCCCAAGACCTACACCATCCCCCTCTGAGTCTCAAATCAGGGCAGCCCTAGTGCCCCCACTTATCTTAATCAGATGAGAATAATCAGAGATGACGTATTTAAAGAAGCCTTGGGCGAGCAATTACCAATAGCTCAATTTCATTTACAAGGGACTTTCACTGTTATCTCATACAGAAGTAGAGGAGACAACTGTTACCTCCATTTACAGATCTGATGAAAACAGAGGGATTAAATGCTCTGTCTGAGGTCACACATATAGGATGTGTCAGAAGGGGCATTTAAAGTCAGGACATGTTTTACAAAACAGAAACCGGGGCTTCCCTGGTGGCGCAGTGGTTGGGAGTCCGCCTGCCGATGCAGGGGACGCGGGTTCGTGCCCCGGTCCGGGAAGATCCCACATGCCGCGGAGCGGCTGGGCCCGTGAGCCATGGCCGCTGAGCCTGCGCGTCCGGAGCCTGTGCTCCGCAGCAGGAGAGGCCACAACAGTCAGAGGCCTGCGTACTGCAAAAAAAAAAACAGAAACGGGCTCACAGACTTCGAAAACAAACTTATGGTTACCAAAGGGGAAAGGTGGCAGAGAGGGATAAATTAGGAGTTTGGGATTAACATACACACGCTACTATATTTAAAATAGATAACCAACAAGGACCTACTGTATAGCACAGGGAACTCTACTCAATATTCTGTAATAACCTATATGGGAAAAGAATCTGAAAAAGAATGGATATGTGTATAAGTAAATCACTTTGCTGTACACCTGAAACTAACACAACATTGTAAATAAATTAAACTCCAATATAAAATAAAAATTAAATTACAGTTTTTAAAAATAAAAAATAAATTCGGGATGTGTCTTTTAAGTCTGTCAATGTCCTTTTTCCTATACCAGGTTGACTCTTGGTAGCTAATGGTGATAATAAAGCTATTTTTATTTATGAAAAAGGAAAGATATGTCAATATGTATGTTTAGATTTTTTTCCTAGTTATTACTACCTTGAAGGGTAAATTCTAATTATTACTACCTTGAAGGGTACAAAATATGGAAAGTGTTTTTGTCTTATCTGTCTTCCTGAATTTGGGATTTTAGGATTATTACTGGCCATCTAATGTGTTTATGTTTATCACAGTGAAAACCAGTTAACCTTTTGGGTATTTAATAAAATCCCATGTGTATTTTAGAAAAACTACCCAAAGTGTCATATATTTGGTAGCAGTATATTGACATATAAAAGATAACATGTTATTTTTAGGCATTCCTGGAATTGTGAAACTTAGATAGCATATTTATTTTTAAAACGTGTTTATTTAGTACTTTATATGCATTATAAACCTAATGAAAACTCTGGAATGAGTGTGTAAGAACTGGCATTTTAATCTCCATTTTATTTTATTTTTATTTTTTAAAATAAATTTATTTATTTACTTATTTATATTTTGGCTGCGTTGGGTTTTCGTTGCTGCGCACGGGCTTTCTCTAGTTGCAGCGAGTGGGGGCTTCTCTTCATGGCGGAGCATGGGCTCTGGGCGCACGGGCTTCAGTAGTTGTGGCTCGTGGGCTCTAGAGTGCAGGCTCAGTAGTTGTGGTGCACGGGCTTAGTTGCTCCGCGACATGTGGAATCTTCCCGGACCTGGGCTCAAACCCATGTCCCCTGAATTGGCAGGCAGATTCTTAACCCCTGCGCCACCAGGGAAATCCTATCTCCATTTTAAAGATGATGAAACCAAGACCTAGGTTGGTGTGACCAGGGCCACCCAGCTCATTCACGACCACATCAGTCAGGGTCCCGGCAGGAGGAAGAGGACACACTTAAACTGGATCTTTTCAGCAGAATTCAATAAAGGAACTCTTTACAAAAGTGGGAAAAATGCAAGGGACATTGTGGAGTTTTGGGGAGCTACCTAGGCCTGTGAAAGAGAGAGGAGGGCGCAATCACCAGAACCTGGAGAGAGACACCTTCAGGGGGAAGAGACGGCAGCCTGCGGCGACCTAGGAAGGAGTCGGGGTAACTAACAACCAACCTCTCTCTCCTCCTAGAGATCCCCGTTGGCCTTACTTAGGCCAGAAGACAACGGAGCCTGCTGATGTCTATACAGGTCAGTCTCCTGGGGCACAGGGCAGGGCAGAGTCCAGTAGGGCGTGGCTCTAGGGTGGGTTAAGCAAGCAGATGGTAACCAGCACAGAGCTGAATCATGATTAAGCCTCAGACTTCCTGTCTCCTATTTCTTCCTATGCTCTTTCCATAACACCGTGGCTTAGACACACTGGGTCTTAGCAGAGAATTCCAGAGACGATCCCTCCAGAGACCACCCTTAGGGCCACAGCATCCCTCAGCGTTCAACTTTAAGCTAGCTTCCTAAAAACTTTACTGTGAGGACAAACAATCCAATGGGACCTGCAAATCAGACAGAGTCAGGAAGCTGGTGTGCAGGCCAGACCAAGATGGCGGCAGGGCTGGCAGGTGGAGAAAGCCTACGCTGAAGTCATCACTGGTTCTTGGCCATCACGTCTTGGCAGAGGTGCCCCAGAGCCTTTAATGCAGCTACAGTGGGCATTAGCTACAAGGCTGGCAAAGTCTCAACAAGAAGAGAGTCTACTATCTTTGGCATCTGGCAACTAAAATATCTTGAAAGAAAGATTTCATCTCACAGCCTTGTCTATAACAATATAATTTGCGCTTGGTTACTCTGGCTTTATTTTTATGTAATGCCCCTGGCATGAAACTCCAGGTTTTATGAAGAGAAATTATCTTGGGGCGTTGGAGCACTCTGCTTTGGATGAGTTCTTTATTCACCTTTATCCTTGGTTTGATGGGGGCGAAAGTCATAAAAGAATTTAATGACAGTGACCTCTTCCAAACCCAGGAGCTATGAGAGCAGTGTAATGAGAAATGCAAAACCCAGTGTTCTCATAGAACACACACTCACCCACAAGTCATGGAGAAAGAATTCTCAGTTCCTGTCCTAGCAGAATTGTTTCCAGAGAAATGAAGTTATGGTTCCATGAAGCTCTATGGTCTGAGTGATCATACACTTCCCCAAAGAAGTGTAACTGCTAGAGCCTATAGTGACTTTGCTCTGAGTTCAATAAAGCCAATTCACTCCTCCCAGCTCTCACCCAAAGAAGAACCTATGCTCTTGCATTGTCCCCCAGGACTGAGGAATATTTTTCCCAGTTCCACTATTTAGCAGTTTCCCTAGTACCATTGGAATCAACCAAAGAGGCACCACGGTAAACCCATGGATTCTCATGGCAATGGCTTTGGCACAATGGTCTCCTGGCCGTTTCTGCCTCAGGGCTTTTGCACTTGCTGATCCCTCTTTCTGGACTACTCTTACCCCAGATTTCTTCATGGGGTGAGAATATACACAGAAGTGGAATTGCTGGATCAAATGATAATTCTATGTTTAATTTTTTGAGGAGTTGCCCTACTATTTTCCACAGTGGCTGCACAATTTTACATTTTCACCAGCCCACCTAACCTACTTTTACTTATATATCTTGTGTAGTGTCCCTACTCTCTTTTTTTTTTTTAATATTTATTTACTTTTATTTAGGCTGTGCTGGGTCTTTGTTGCGGCATGCAGGATCTTTAGTTGCAACATCCGTACTTCTTAGTTGTGGCACGCGCACTCTTAGTTGCGGCATGCGGGATCTAGTTCCCCAACCAGGGATGGAACCCGGCCCCTTACCCACAGGACCACCAGGCAAGTCCCTTCTCTTACTTGAATGTAAATTTCACAAGGGGAGAGATTTGCTCCCCAAGTGCCTAGAACCTTGCTTGGCACCTGGTAGTGGGTGATCCGCCAGTATTTGTTTAATGAATGCAACTGTTTCGGTGCCTCTGACCTCATTTGCATCATCCTGAACCCCTTAATGCCAGCTTCATGCCGTTGGAGCCGTTCTCAGCGCACCTCCTCAGAGGCTCCCCGCCTCCTCCGCGCATGCCCCTTGCAACGCTTCTTCCTTTCTGCTTTGTATCCTGGTTATCGGTGAACTTGCCCCATCTCTCCCTCTGAATCCTAAGCTCCTTAATGTTAGGGAGCACGCTTTGTTTATTGTCGTTCTTCTGCCATCTCTCTGGCCCAGGGAATCTATGCTCAACCCACACTCGTTAGAGGGATGTTCTGAATACCTGAGCGACACTGGGGGCTGGGCTTGGGCACTCCAGAGCCCCCCCCAAGAATCCCAGGCTATGTGGCCTCTGCACACGCCTCTGAGCCTGGCCCTCCTGGGTCTGATGAGGGCATTGGACCAGTGACTTCTTGGGTTCCTCTTAGATATTAGGTGTGCTGTGGAGCCACGTCTTTGACAGAAAGAGCATGGTCCTCATCTTCGAGAGCCCCCAGTCTGATATGAATAAAATAAATATGTCAGAAGAGGTTAAGGACTCAAAGGAAGCCTGTGCCCAGAGCTGTCCGTGCCCGGATGGACGGTGTACCCCGCCTCTCCCTCTCCCAGTCATACTCCCCGCTCGCTGGGGCTTCAGAGCACAAAACACCAGGAAACTCAAGGGGAATGCACACACTTCCCATTCTGGTGGAGAGAAAAAAAAAAATCTTTACAGCTCACGTGATTTCATTGGTTATTTTAAGCTGTTTATTTTTTTCTGTCCCATCCTCAGGGAATAAACATTTGCAGGCAAAACTTGGACTTTGGCGTCTTCCCCCCTTTGCTTAGCTATTTGTGTATAAATACGACTTGAGTAAAATCTCGAAAGGACTGCCAGTCCCGCCTACCCCGCTCCCACTTCCTCTTATTTTGTAAGAAAGACTTAATGAGTTTGTACCCAAGAGCGGAATGCTTCGATGACACTTAAAGCCCTCCACGTATTTAAAAAAAACTCTTTTCAAATGCATAAACAATGCACTAACAATAGTTACAGATTATTAAACAAATCACTCATAGTCCAACAACCCTGACAAAATGCTTTTTATTTTTACCGATTACCTTCCAGTTTTACCCTTATGAGTACATAGTTTACACCGTGGTCATCAGACCGTATAATACCGCCTTGCATGCTACATTTTCCTTTTAACATCTGTAGACAAGTGTATTATTCTTAAATATTACCATTTGGTAAATCCAGGTCAGATCTGTCACTGATTGATTGCCGAGTGAGTGGTTACTGGGCTGTATAGGATACAGAAAGATAGAAATTGTCCCTGCCCTCAAGGAGTTTACAGTCTCACGGAGAGATAAGACATGCATACAGGAAACAATCTCGGACAGTCGGTAGTTACATGGAAAGGTGTGTGCGCAGTACAGATGACAATGTACTCGTGGTAAGCAGGTGTTCTGTGTGGTGGAGAGTTTCTCAAGGGTTGGGGAACTGAGAGAAGCCTGCCTCCCCTTGAAGGTGAGAGGGTGATGTGATGAGCAGTTCTGAAGAGGCAGAGGGAAGGGAGGAGAGGGTTCAGATAAGGATGAACGCTCGAAGGGGCTGAATACAGGGGACATACAGTTCAGATAATACAGCTCGAAGGGGCTGAATACAGGGGACATACAGTTCAGATAAGGATGAATGTTCGAAGGGGCTGAATACGGGGACATACAGTTCAGATAAGGATGAATGTTCGAAGGGGCTGAATACGGGGACATACAGTTAGTTTGGGAACCACTGGAGCAATTAACCCCACAGGTACAGAAGGTGACTTTGTTGGGGAATGGTAGGACCAAAGACACGAAGATGCTGAGAATGAGAAAGAGAGCTGGAGCTTCCCGAAAGGGAGACAGAACACAAAGTCGATGTGACTGGGATGACGGAGAGAGATGCGGGGGATTCAGTGTTGTTGTCTCAGTGGTCTAGCGGGAGCGCAGGTTCTTGCTGCTGCTGTTGTTTTGGTTTTGAGATACATGGCATCTATCTATCTAGATGCAGCCAGTAGATCTGGGGAGATTTAAAATACTGGGGAGCAGGAGGTGGAAGGAAAGCAGGCCCTGGGCCTTGGGGAGGGATGGCACGCCAGGACTCACAAGTAAACACACAGGTCAAAGCAGGACCTCTCTCCTCTGGTTTATTGCTCTCTTCCTGCCTAGAGCAGTGCCTGGCACTGAGGGAGTCCTTATAAGTACAGTATTTGTTGAATGAGAGCTGAATCAAGTCTAGTTTTGCAAAATTTCTGTACAAAGTCCAGCACATCTCAATTCCTCCTCCAGGCCTCAGTGTCAGCTCGCTATGATGGAGTTATTTTTCCAAGTGCGCCTCATGGCCCTTTTGGGCCGGGTCAGGCCGGGAAGCCACATGAGTCTCACTAATCCTGAGCCTTGCTGAGGCCTGTAACGATTGGCACTGGGGGACAATGACTTAAGATCCCAGTTAGTCATCCTGGCAGCTGCTTCCTGCCTCCCTTCCCTCGTTGCCTTCTGTTCGGGCCTTTCTTGGGTGGGAAGAGGATATTACCCAGACTCACCAATGATTACCACTGGAAGGCAGCTTACCCAGCGGCACATGCGCCCCTGTCATCAGACAGATGAACTGAGTCAGGCCCAGAAGGGAGTGGGGCTGATTCAAACCCAGGGCTGTCTGGAATCAGCTCACAGGCCAGCCTCATCCACGCAAAAATCTAACAAATGTCACTGAGCATGTGCTACGTGTCAGGCGCTGCTTCGGTGCTGGAGAAACAGCAGTGAGCAAACAGACAAAACTGTGGAGGTGGGGAGAACAATCATCAACCAGATAACTAAGGTGGACGGTGAGAGGAGCCAGGGCAAAAGCAAGGGGGTGGGGGATGGGGCTTGCAATTGTAGGGAGGTGGTCAAGGAAGGCCTCGGCAAGAAAATGACATCAGAGCAAAGCACTGAACAGGAAGCAGGAGGGAGCGTGGGGCCGTCTGGGTGAAGAGTAGTGCAAAGGCCCTGTGGTAGCAGTGGGCCTGGCATGTTCCAGGAACAGTGAAGAGGGATGTGAGGGGAGAGTAAGAGGAAATGAGGCCTGAGGGGTAACGGGGGCGGGGTGCATGCGGTCTCAGAGTCCCCATGTGAGGCCTTTGGCTTTTATTCTTCCCACTCACTGCCCATTGTCTAATTCATGACCCGACCTTTTCCTGTTGACACTCAGGGGCGCTGGGATGTCTGTGGGCAGAGGGGAGAATGG